GTAAGAAAGACTAAGTATCAAGTGATTATTAACACTAATATTCAAATGTAAGAATGTTTTCCAGCCCACTCTGAGTAACGTAGTAAAATCAGAAGACCATGATTCGCATTAGCACATGATGCTCGATGACTTAATTAGTTGGTTAATCTATAAGTAAGGCGAATTAATGCAGAGTTAAGTGTTATCGTCTAAATACAAGCAATCAGACATCGAACTCTAAGATATTACTTTCGCTAACTAATTAACTATTACTTAATTAAATATTATTAATCGTCGTTAACCAAGCATTGTTATTAGTTAATTAATTAATGTGTAGAGCACGGGCAATCACAACAAATGAATCACGCATACCACCAACCTCGTGTTCCACGTTTTACTCGCGTGAGCCATGCACGTACTTTTGATTACTATATTATATAGTATAATGCGCTTTTTGGTAATATATACCTATATATATATATAGATATATATAGATATATATAGATATATATATTACTAAAATACGTTATAAAATATGATATAATAAGCGAAACTACGTGAGTATGATATTTAGAAGTACGAGTGGGAAGAGTACAGCGCACATGCAGGTGGTAGTATATACGTGTCATTTGCTGCGAGTTCCCGCTGAGGCGCAGAACACCTATCTACTATAAAGAGCTGTTGTTAACAGACGCACACCGCGGGGCCATGCGGCGCTTCACATCTCCACTTCCAGTTTGTCGGTACACATGTAAGCGGCCGTCACCAGGTCGCTGGCCCTGTGATCTTCCGGGTCGAACTTGTGGCCGTTAGTAAGATAGCAGAATGCTAGTTCTCCCTCGCGGTCCGCGAGCGTTGTCTGGCAACCGCGACCTTCAAGGTCGTACGTGCCAAACAGAGGGCGCCCCTACAAGCAAACCGGGAAAACAACATGGCGGGAGACCAACCACCTTGACGGGAGGACCGAAACAGCAATAAAAAAGACTAATTTAGTGTAGATATGAGAAGAGGGTTAGAAACGGGGTAATGGGGCTATAAAGTCTACGTGAGTTACGGACCAATCCATACTCAGACGTTACATACACACTATCGTTTCATAATTTTATATGCCAATCTTTCGCTTTGGAAGTTGTTAACGGTTAGTTTCTGTCAATGTAGGGCGGTTAGAAGGTTAATTTAGCGGTTACCTTTCACAGACATTCTAGCATCGATGCACTATTGAAGTGATAATCTACGACATTTAACAACATGTGATATGTTGATATAATAAGATGTATTATGAATTAAATTCGTACACGGAAATAACATAAAGAGTGAGTAACGACAATGTTAGGAATGTATTATATATATATATATATATATATATATAAGATTATCAATCGTCATGCTCGGTTTAGCAGGGATTAATATTGTTAACTATTATATGGTATCTACGGGTTGACAACGATCAGCGTATATAACTGACTCTACTACCTCTACTACCACATCATCTGCTGGTAGCAGCGGGCAACCCCATCGTAGAATCCTCTCTATAATTCCACGATACCGCCAACGTTAAACATCGGACAGCAACAGCAGCAGTCGACACACCGCCACTACCACCATCCGCCGTTACGGGGTTCAGTTTGGCCACTTACGTCCGAGTTCACCCATTCGCAGCCCGTGAAGAATCCGCCGGCGGTGAACTGAGAGGCGACGTAGTCTCCCATGACGACGTCCTTCCCCGACGTCACCTGTTCGCGCATCTGAAAGGTGAGGCTAACTTTGAAGAATAGACGTAACAAATGCGACAATGCGGAACGTCGAGTGTATAAAGTACGAGATCAAGAGAGGGCGGGAGATCGGGGAAAAAAGAGAGAAATTCAAGAGCGTGTGGGTGGGCACGTGTGTGTGCGCGCACGCGGGTGTGTGTTTGTTTTTTTGTTTGTGTGTGTGTGTGTATATGTGTCAGTGTGTGTCTGTGAGAGAGAGAGAGAGAGGGAGAGAGAGAGAGAGAGTCCACACCATGAGTATAATTAACGCATGTGTAACTACGAAGACTACTAAGACAGATTAGCTAAGCGTCATTCATAATTGCCATCCACACTCCCGCACATTTCCGCACGCTGGCTTCATACCTTGGTGATTGTGTCGGGTTTTAGCAGCACCTGACCATCCAGCTCTCCCGTGGTGGCCAGTATACTGTAGAGCTTTGCTAGCGCCGTCGACGTGCCAATGCCGTTAGCCGACGGTATCTCCATCTCGCGTATCTCGGGATTGTTCCAACATCCTACCTGCTGAGGGGAACCCCATGAAAACCGTAAAGAAATAAGTATCAAAAAATAGAAACAGGTCAACCCAATAAGAAACGTATAACCGAAATAAAAATGCGAATAAAAACAGGTAAACAAACAAAGAAAAAACAAGCACATACTCAAGCACACACACACGTACACGCACGCACACAAACACAAAAACACAAACACACACAAACTCACACACACACACACACACACACACACACACACACACACACACACACACATACACACACACACACACACACACACACACACACACACACACACACACACACACACACACACACGCGCGCGCGCACACGGATGTTTCCACGAACTAGTAGC